CATGGAGGCTCAGGACAGCCTGGTTCTGGGGGGCACCCCTGCCAGCCGGCACCTCAAACCAGAGCACACGAGCTTCAGGACTGGGTCTTCCACACCTCTTCCGCTAGTACCGCGCAGCTGAACTGAACCAGCCAGGCACTTACCTGCATTGGCTCAAGTGGCTTCACCTTTTGGCAAAGTTGAACCAGCACCACAGACACCTGACCGTCATGATTGTAATCGCACCCCCGCTGCGGGCCCAGCCCCACACTAACTACTTCAGATCATTATTCCAGTTAATCTTCAAAACAGCCTGTAAGACCAGCATAATTATTTATCATTCCTATAATGAAACTGACACTCAGAAAAATAAATTAACTTGTCCAACTCTTCCATGCAGGAAGCGGCCGACAGCCGGGCTTGGAGCCTTGCGCTCCGACTGCAGAGTCTGTCCCTTGCACGGTGAATGGTGGCTAGTGGCCGTGTGTGGCTAGTGGCCATGTGTGAGTTGTCATATTTAAAATATTCAAGTCTGGGCATCATTGGCTCCCATCTAACCAGGAGGCTATGATCAGATGATCATAATCATAAGCCTGGGCAGAAAAAGGCACGTGTGTCTCTTATCTCCAATTAACCAACAAAACACTGGAAGTAGAGGTATGGCTCAAGTGGTTGAGCATCAGCTGTAGGTAGAAAACCTAAGGGATAGTGCCCTGGCTCTGAGTTTAAGCCCAGTACTGGCATACATGCATGAAATAAAAGTATACATTTTCAAACATATGCTAACACTTCATGACTCATCCATTTCCCAGGAGCAACAGGTATGGACTTAGGGTTCATCTGTGTTCATGGATTTCCCCCCCCCAGCCAGGCACCCCCCCAATCCCCCTCCCCCTCAGATTTCAGGTAGCCACTTCTTTCTTTCAACAGCTGTACCAGCTCAGGGGGACAGCCTCTCCCCATGCCCTCATCCCTGAGCCCGGCCAAATGGCCCCCGCCCTCAGAGATTTCTAGACAGGAAGCCTCCATCATCAGTCTAGCTCATTTGAAGAAGGGGAACAACCGGATGTAGCGTTCTTCTGCCTGCTGGGGTTGTTACCATAAGGAGAAGACTTTCTAGACCAGCCTGGTCTTGGACCCCTATCCTAGCATGCTTCCAATTCCAGTTCCTGCTTCAGGATGACTTAGGGGGTCTCCCTGCCTGTCAGTCTGAGCAGGAAGTGTCTGGAGTTAGATTTTCTGTCCCCCACCTCCCCATAAGCTGGAGGATTCTCTCTTCCCGCATCTGCAGACGTAGAGTAGAGTACCTACCTGTCTTGCAATGTGATTTAAAGTAGGTTGGCTAGAAGAGGATGCAGTACTGGCCATGGCCAGGAGGTGTCACCCCACAACAGCATACTGGAAACCTTTGGGCAGGGTGGGGGCCACTTGCATGAGCTTCTTTCAGTATTAAATCCCCTTGGACTCCAGAGGAAGTGGAAGAAAGTTCCAGCTGTGGGATCCCCTTTGGAGCAGCCGGGTTAGGTCTGGCTCTACTCCGAGTCAGAAAGTGGAGTTTTGGAGTTTTGCAGGTTTCAAAATATGCCGGTGTGCAGAGGCTTCACCACAAGGCCAGCATCAGAGGAAGAGGCCGCCTGGGCGAAGGGGCAGAGGGTCTTTCAGACCTGCAGGGCAGCCCCTGGTTTAGAGGAGCAGCGCCCCCAGGAATCTGCCCAGCCACCAGGACGGGGCAGGAAATGTTGTCCAGCTCAGAGTGGGCAGTCCATCCAGGGTGGCCCTTCTGTCACCCTAACCGCCTGGGAGGAACTGAGCATGCCTGGCCCCTGGGGGAAGGGGTGGCTCTGCTCTCTGGGGAGAACAGCCCAGCCCCTTGGTCCCTCCAGGCCTAGACGGGGCCTCTCTGGCTTCTGTGTAGCCAAGCTGGTGTGTGGCTCCCCCTAGTGCCACAGGGTGGGATGGCAGAGCTGGGTTCTTACCGCCCAGGCCTGCCCAGCACCCTAAGTCACAGACAGCCCCAAATGTACACAATTACCCATAATGACCCAGTGCACCCAGAGCCGGAGAAACCACCTCCTGGGGACCAGATTGCACCCCTTGGGTAAGGCCAGTGGTAACAACAACTCCAGAACCGAGAGAGTGACCAGCCAGGCCACACGTGGGACCAGGACTCGTAAACTATCTTGCCTCCATCCCCCACCCCTGATTCTTCCTCTACCTAAACGTAATCCTCATGTCTGCACCCAAAGGATGGCTGGAAATGAAGTGCCATCTTCCCATGGCACCGTGCCATGCAATCTCCTTCCCCGACATCTTTCTCTTTTAATAAACTCTCCCGTCACTTTCACTACATTCCTGCCTTGCCAAAATTCTTTTCTTGCCAGACATAGATAGTTGGGCTGACTTTCTGGCAATACTTCTTAGTCCTTAAAAGAAGTGGGGAGTCCCAGCTGAGCTAGCAGATGACCCAGGGGCTGGGGACCCCCACAGACAGCCGAGCCAAGTCTGCGCCATGGTTCGAAAAGCGCCAAGGAGCTGGGCGCCAGTGGTTCACCCCTGTAATCTTAGCTATTCAGGAAGCTGAGATCTGAAGATTGAGGTTCAAAGCCAGCCTGGGCAGAAAAGTCCATGAGACCCTTATCTCCCATGAACTACCAAAGAGCCAGAAGTGGATGTATGATGGCTCAAGTAGCAGAGCACCAACCCTGGACGCAAAAAGCCGAACCACAGCACAAGACCCAGAGGTGGAACCCCGGTCCTGTGTGCTGGCCAGAACTTATGCAAATGCTAAAGCATCCCGCATCCTGCGATGCCCTGCAGGGCTCAGGAAGGCATCCCGTGCCAGGGCTAAGGTGTGAACGTTGTGCTGAAATGAGGAACCTGTGCAGTGGGAGGTGGAGGCGGGGCGTGAGGCGCTTGGCCATCATCACCTGGTTCCTGATTGGCTACACCCGAGCTCGCGTCCAAGCCTGCTGGGGCCCCAGCCTGCCATCTTAACTGTGACACCAGGGCGGGAAGGCTTCGACGATTCTCCACCTCCACTCAGCACCCACACCGCTGACTCCCCAACACCCTGCCACCCCACCCCAGCTCTGCTGCCTGTGTGTTCACCCAGAAAGTGCTTCCTGAGCACCCAGCCCGCGCCTGGACCGGGCTGGGTGACCATCCAAGGCCATCCCTGCCTCCTGTAGCTTGTTGGCATCAGGGCTCAGACTAGAGTGGGCATGCGCAGGACACAGGATGACACAGGGCAGCCTGCCAGAGGCCCAGGATGCTGGCAGCGGGAGCAGGAAGGGCCCTGGACCACCCAAGACTCGCCTGGGCCCCTACTCCCGCCCTGTCCCGGCACGGGTGTCTAGGGGCTCGGGCCCCTCCCAAATGACTTCTTTGACTTTGCAGAGGGCATGTGGTGGCCACTGGAGTGGAAATGGCTGTGCTGGGGATCCGAGGACGGTGGGTCCCAGGCTGCCAGTCCAGCATGTGCTCGGTTACTGATTGACAGGGGCTTCGGAGGGAAGGCAGGAAGGCAGGAGGAGGAGGAAGGGCCCCAGCACAGCATTCTCCATGTTCCCGTGGCTCCAGGCTGCCCTCTGCCAGCAGCCCCTCTTTACCCTAGACGGAGGACCAGCCCCTCCAGGCTCTCTCCCGGGCAGGGAGAATGGGGGAGAGGAAACTTGCTGGGGGAGGGGGAGGAATCCGCACAAAGTCCCAAAGCATTTTAAAAAAAAAATGGAGGCTGGACGCTGGTCCAGCCTGTCATCCTAGGAGGCTGAGATCTGAGAATCGAGGTTCAAAGTCAGCCAGAGCAGGAAAGTCGTGAGACTCGTATCTCCAATAAACCACTCAGAAAACCGCAAGTGGTGCTGTGGCTCAAGCGGTAGAGCACTCGCCTTGAGGGACAGCGCCCAGGCCCAGAGTTCAGGCCCCACGACCAACATAAAAAGAAAAGAGGCTTACACTGGGACCAGCACACCTGGACATGGGCCCCACCCCACCCAGGTCCTAAGTCCAGGCAGGGAAGGGGAGAGGGGGCAGAGGAGGCCAGCGTACCTGAGCGTGTGGGCAAGACCACACCAGAGCTCATCTGCCCACACCCGGCCTCGTGCCGGGCTCTTCCTGTCTCAGGAAGTGGTGAGGAGCGGCCAAGCCCCAGCAGGTTAAGCAAAGGCCCAGAGGCACCACATCCAGAGCCAGCAACTCCTGTGGACCGGTCCCTGGGGTCCTCTTGGGTCCTCCCTGCCCAGCTCCCCTCCCCCACCTCCTGGTCAGGCTGTGACTCCCAATGTCTCCATGTTGAAGCCCCCAGGGTGCTCAGACACCAAGATGCCCCATTGATTCTGCCCAGATCCGCAGCTGGGATTGAGGAGGGCTGCTCAGGCGGCCCACCTCTGCCCTTCCTCCAAAGGCCGGTCTCCACTTTTCTGCCTCTCATGAAGTGGGGGTCTGAGGTTCAGGGTTCCCCAGGAAATCAAGGGATCGTGGGGGCCTGGAGGAGGCCTAGGGGATGGGACATTGGGGGAAACTTGAAGAGGAAAGTTGGGGGGAATTTGAAGTGGGCACAGGCTCCCTCTTGTGGCAATATCAGGGATTGCACTCCAGGACCGGGACTGTGTCCAAATTCTCTTGCTTGGTTGTTGTTTGGGACCAGCTTACAGGTTTGAGTTGTGGAAAATCTCCAAGTGAAGTGGAAGTTCACTAACTTCCAGTCCTCGCGACCTTCCTGGAGAGCTAAGAGGAAGGTCAGGGCTGCACACTGTCCGGCACACCGGAGGCCCGTCAGCCTCGGTGCCCGGCAGGGTCTCCTGGGAGCCTGCTGGGCCCACTGGCCTCGAACCTGTGAACCTTCAGACCTCTGCAAGGCATACAGAAGCCAGGCCTCTGACCCTGGGATTTTCCCAGCCGTCCATTCAGGGGGAAAAGAGGAGACACCCCTAGGTGACAGACAGCCCTGAACTTGCCTTTGCAGGCAGATGGGCCGTTCTGCCTGAGCAGGTAACAGAACAAAGAAGACCAGGACACAAGATAGACCCCACCATCTTGTACTTGGACGGGAAGAAGCGGGCGGGGCAGTTACAGGAGGGAGGCAGCAGAAGGACAGACGTCCTCATGGTGAACTTGACACCTCCTTTAGCGTCCTGCCGAGGGCTGGCTGCCGTGGGAGCAGAGGGACAGGCGGCGTCCGCAGCCCGGTGAGCACGGTGAGCTCTGGGAAGACAAAGGCAGGATTGGGGCGGGCAGGGTGGAGGTGGGGCGCTGGGCATCTTTGTCTCTTGTCTGTCCAGCTTCCATTCCAGGCACTGGCCCTGTCACCTTCAGCCATGTGATGGAGCCTACGGCTGATGTGGGCGACCCCCACAGTCCCCCCGCCCGTACCCCCACATACCTGTCCTCACAGCTCATCTTGGCTGACCTGCCTGAGAAGGGGAGAAACAGACAGGCAGAGGTCAGGGGGACGGGAGAGTCCAGGGTCCTAGAAACGAGGGAGGGGGACCTGCCCTCCCCCACACCCCCTCCCCACCACCCACCTCAGTTTCCCCAGGCAGGACTCACCGGTGCTTTTTGCCGCCCCCACAGCGGAATCGTTTACCTTGGAAAGACAATAGCATGTTTGTTTCTGTTGACTTCTTTCTTTTTCAAGGAGATCCTGCGAGATCTGGCGCCTCCAGGCTCCCCTGTCCCCTCCCGCCAGGGCCACAGCCATGCCCGCCTTGGAGGCCACATCTGACCATCTCTCTTTACGGAGGGCTGGACTGCAGGCCTTGGACTGCGGGCCTTCGAGAGCCCAGGTCAGGCAGGCATTGGCAGGCATTTACTACCGCAGCAGGTGCCGAGTGCACTGTGTGTGGAGGAACAGCTGAGGCCCGCAGGCTTGGAGTCCCTCGCCAGAGCTGCGTGCACAGTACTTCAGTGCTGGGTGCACAGTAGCTGCTCACGACACGCTTAGAGAAGGATGGCAGTAACCCCAAAGCCAAGATTCCCGGCTCAGGCCCACCTGCACCTGAGTGCCGAGCCTCTCCACGGCTCTTCCCTCCACAAGTGGGGGGTTCAGACAGGCCTGCGCTCAGCGCCTCCCGGGGTGAGTCCGGCTGGGGTGAGTCCCGGGGTGAGTCCTGTGCTGGCAGTGGTGCCGAGAGGGCTCACTGGGCTGCGGTGAGGCTCAAGCTCAGAAAGGGTAGTGGTCTGGGCAGTGCCAGCTTCCCGGACTGGCCTAGCCCTGGTCTCTGCCAGTGCTGTGCTCTCTGCCAGGCCACTAGAGGGCGCAATAGTGTCCTTCCCGCACCACATACCCCCACCCCACACCCCAGCCGGCCTCCCTTCCCACTTACTGAGCAGGATGAGCAGCCCTACAATGAAGGCCAGGCCAGCGAAGATCAGGCCCCCTTTGCGGACGGTCTCATAGTCTGGGGGAGGAAAGGGGCGTGTGGTGACCCCCGCTTCAGGCAGCCCTCCCGCCCTCCCCCCCCCCGCCCGCCTGGGCGTGTGGTGATGGGGAGCGGAGGGGGCCCTGTGCAGACCCAGGGCAGGGGCTGCAAGGGGGGAGGGAGGAGGGTTCTGGGGGGAGGGAGGAGGGCTCTGGGGGGGAGGAGGGCTCTGGGGGGAGGGAGGAGGGCTCTGAGGGGGGAGGAGGGCTCTGGGGGGAGGGAGGAGGGCTCTGGGGGAGGAGGGCTCTGGGGGGAGGGAGGAGGGCTCTGGGGGGAGGGAGGAGGGCTCTGGGGGGGGAGGGAGGAGGGCTCTGGGGACTACCCAGCTTACCATAGTGAAAGGGGTCCATGGCCTCTTGACTGCTTCCACCTGAGGAGAGAGCCAGGGATGGGGCGAGGCCCACAGATGGGGTCAGGGAGACCTGCGGTCCTCCCCCACCCCAGAGGACGAGGTACGGCTGGAGGGCGAGGTGCTGGGGGGACATGGGGCAGTAGACACAGACACCCCCTCCCTGCGGGCATGAGCCCAGAGTCGGAGTTCACACAGGGCAGCAGAGCCCGCCGGCCAGCCTGCCTGCCGCGGACGCTGGAGGGGTGGACGGGCCTGGCCCTGCGCTCTGCCAGCCAGGGCGTGTCAGAGGGAGACGCTCACACAGGGGCTCCCAGTGTTAGACATGAACATGCAGCTGCCACAGCCTCGGCTCATTGGCCCTGCAAGGCACCAAGATCATCCCAGTGTCACTTGTGAGGGAAATGGAGGCACAGAGAGGGTAAGAGAGCCCCCACAGTCACACAGCAGGGAAACCCACTGACGAGGGCTTTAACCAATCTGGGAAGACGGCAGCAGGAAGGAGTCCTTCCCAGTCCATGCTGCCCGGCCTGCGCCCCCTGCACCCTGGGCCCCAGCCCCTGGGCTTCCTGCTGGAGGCCCTCCTGGCACCAAGAAGCCAGACCAGCCTGAAAGAAAGAATGTGCAACTCAGCAGCCACCAGGCAGGACTGAACTGTGCCCTGGGCAGTGGGCAGCCTCGGGCCGGCCGAGCCCCGCCAGTCCTCAGCCAGAAAACATCAAGCTGGGCGGGGTCCGTGCCGGCTGGACTTCAGGAAGGCCAGAAGCCACGGGAAGAACAAGGGGACCCGGACCCCGGTCCCCACATAGCAGGAAGCCTTCATGGTGACTCCTGGATCCGATCCAGGCAGTGTCGGAGGTCGCGTGGAGAGTTAGCCGCCGAAGCTGGACCCAAGTGACGCACCTCACCACGCCTGGAAGCAACTCCCCCCGGACACCCTGTCTCCAGCTAGGCGGTGAACCCCACGCCCACCCACGCCAGCCAACAGGCACTCATAGCCCCCACCAACGCCCACCTATGCCCACCCATGCCAGTCAATAGCCACTAGCACCATCAACACGCATCCGTGTCCATCCATGCCCACCAGTGTCCACCCAGGCCACCCACCAATGCCCACCCATGGCCTCCTCTTTTCTGGATCTCTTCAGATGCCACTTCTGCCAACACATGCCCACCCCCCCCCCAGGTCCTTACCTACCACAGGCCCCTGAAGGACTCTCACCCCAAAACAGCCCAGAAGGCACTGAGTCCAGCTGGCCCGGCCCGGGGCAGCAGGGCACGCTCGGGAGGGGCAGGGCAGATGTTCACACCCCAGGTTTACCGTCCAGGCTGCTTTCAGGGTGAAGGCAAGGCTCCCCCTTCCTCAATGCAGATTGTCTTAGGGAGGAGGCCGGTACGTGGAAGGCAGGCCGGGGGCAAGAGGGAGAAGAAGGAGGAGAGTCTCCTTGCCGCCCCCCAGCCCAGCGCCTGCTCACACTCACACACACTCACCCTCACTCTCCGGCCACATAGCCACGGCCACCTTCCCCGTCCCCGCACCCAGCTGCTCCACTTGAAGATGCGTCTGGACGGGCATTAAACATTAACCGCGCCGGCAATGTTTACCCGCACGAGCAAAGGCGGGCCGGGCGGCACCGAGGGGCCACGGGAGAGTGCTGCCTGGCTCTCCTGCCCCGCCCCAAGGAAATTTCCAGAGAGAAGGCCAGGGATGATTCGGTAATGGATTCTTCCACTGGCCTGAGCAGCCACATCTGGGTGGGTGGGGAGAGCTGAGGGACCCAGGCTGCACGCAGCCGAGTTAAGTTCCCGTCCCCCCCCCCCGCCTCCACCAACCCTGCAGAGGCCGCCCAGGGCCTGGCTCCAGGCCTGGCTCGTCTCTCTCCCACCGCGGCCCCCCGGAGACCCCCAAATCCCCAGCTTCCGCAGCCCGTCCTGACTTCCTCATTCATGCCCTGGGCCCAGTCCAGCCCTCAGCCCTCCACCAGAAAGCCTCCACCCTGCTTCTAGACTCTTCCACGAAGAAACTGAGGCTCCTGTCCCCACCCCCGCAGACAGCTGTGCCATGAGCTCATTGGCAGACATGGGAAACTGAGGCCAGGGAGGCCGGACTGAAGCTCGCCAGCCACAGCAGCGGAGCTGCAGAGCCGGATCCTCCAGGCTGCGCTGCGCTACTGTCATGATTGTCACCTCTGGTGACACAGCTGAGCTCCCCCCTCCCCGAGCACAGGACCCGAGGGCTGTCCCCTCGGGAGCCAGCGAAAGAATGAGGAATGGAAGACAAGGAGAGAGGTTAGACAGGGAGATAATAGGGCTGGATGCAGAGAAAGAGAGATAGAGAGAGATCATAGATAGATAGACTAATAGAGAAATGGAGAGATATAGGTGATAGATTCTAGATAAGATAGATGATACAGGTAACTAAATAAGATAGATGATAGGTAGAGACATAAATAAATAGAGATACAGAGATAAATACATAGATGGAGAGAGATTGATAAGTAGAGAAACAGATAATTGATATAGATAGATAACAAGATAACTAAATAAGGTAGATGATAGGTAGGCAGGCAGATAGATAGATAGGTAGGTAGGTAGGTAGGTAGGTAGGTAGGTAGGAGATGGATGCTGGATCGATGGATGAGTGGCTAATGGATGTGCAGAAGGATGGATAAATGGGTAATGGATATGCAGATGGCTGGCTGGCTGGATGGATGGATGGGCATAATGGGTGATGACGGATGACAGCCTCCATGGAGGAGCTCACTTGGGGCCAGGCACTCACTCCACAGAAGTTGCATCCTTGGCCTTCAGGTGACCCCACAGGGTAGGGAATGGGGGTCCTCACCCTACTTTCTGGAGAAAAGCTAGGCACGGGAGGAAGGGGATGTATGTGGCCAAAGGGCTGGCAGCTAGGATTGGGGGTGGGAGGAGTGCAGCAGCTGGCTGGACAGACAGACAGACAGAGGAGGCTGCCGGAGAAGCTCCCATCCCAGCCTCTGTCTGGGAGGAGCTCAGAACCAACAGCCTCAAGTTGAGACCCTGTCACACACACACACACACACTCACACACACACACACACAGGCACGCCTCTGCTTTGCCAGCGCTCACATCGGTGCGGTGCGTTTGAAAGGCCACAGCCCGGGCAGTGGGGAGGGGCCGGGCTCTGGCAACTCACCCAGGTACCACCTGTGCATGGCGGGTGCGGGAGAGCGGGGTGCGCTGCTGCTGCTGCTGCTGCTGGGGTGTTCTCCACACTGAGCGAGTGGAGCCCCGACAGGAAGATCAGGCCAGGAGGAGGGGCTGGCCAGGGAGCCCAGGCCCCCCCCACTCACCTGCCTGGGCTGGTTGGGGCGAGAGACCCACGTGAGCGAGAGGAGGGAGATTTCCATGGCCCTGGGCACAGGGCGCCAGTGCCCCCTCCCGCCTGCTGCCCCCTCCCCAGAGCTCCATGCACACAGCCCGGTCCCCAACAAGAAGGCCAGGATGGAAGAAGGCAGAACCCCAAACTCCCTCTCCTCCGGCCTTCTGGCTGCTGGCTCTGAGAGGCTCCGGGGCACCTGTGGGTCCCCCGAGTCTTTGCTGGGCGAGCTCTGAGTCTTCACCCCGCCCCCGGGTCTGCCCTTGGGGCCGTGTGTCCAGCCTCTAGCCCTGGCTTTGCAGCTGCCAGTCCCCTGAGCCTGGACGGGGGAACAGCAGCCCCCCGCCCAAGGTGCCAAGGTGGACAGGGCGGGGGCACCGGCTTCCTGTCCTTTGAGCCACTCTGGATGCTCCTGGGGTGCCCTGCCCTTCCCCCACAGGGGCGTCTCACGGCCACGGGGACCACACACTGCCGTGAGGTTACCTCCGCCCAACCATCTCCGAGGACTTGGCGCCTAATGAGGCCTCTGAGGGCCGCTGGTGCCAGGAAGCAGCCGGGAGGCCACGCTTCTGGTGCCAGGGTGGGGGAGGGCGGGGGAGGGCGGGGGAGGACAGCCCACCCTGCCATTCAGAGACCACTGGGGCCAGCGGAGAGCCAGGCCACAGTGAGGGGCCTGTGTGTGGCACCTGCCCTGGCATGGCCGCGCCAGAGCCTGGCCGTGCTGGGTCTGGTCTCTGTGCCCCTCCCAGCAGCGCTGCCGGTCCTGAGGCCCTGCTCTGCGGGGCTGGGCTGAGGTCCATTCCAGGGTCCTGAGCCGGCCTCCTGTGCCCCTCCTGGATGTCCATAAGGCCAGGGACAACGCTGCCCCGTGGCTGTGTCACATGTGTCCAAGTGCGAACCTGAGCCTCCCAGCGGAGTGGAAATTCCCCGAGCCGGGTCTGTGGAGAAATCAAGGTGCCCAGTGTTGGGGCCACCTGGGACTTTCAAGTGACCTGGCGCAGGCATCTCACCTAAAGAGCCTTGTGCTCACCCCCCTGACCTTGTGTTCCTGAATTTCCTGCGAGTCACTCTGTTCCAACCGTACTGCTCACCTGATGGGCTGCTAACCTTCCAGAGCTCACTCGTGCCTCAGGATCTTTGCACAGGCTGCTCTTCTTCCTGAGGCCTGGAACGATGTGTCCAGCTCCCAGCTGGACACATATTGCTGGCAGGGCTCTCCTCCTCGGTCTGACTCGGAAGACCCTTCTCAGTACCCCGGTCTAAAAATTTCACATCATCCTCTGGGACACGCCAACCCCCTTCTTGGCTTCCCTTTTTCTCCGTAGCACCATCTGACACATTCTGTGCTTTCCTTATCATGTTTGTTTTCCTCTTATCCAGAAGGATTGCTCCAAGAGGTCCAGGACCACCGTGTTGGTCCAGTCCTGGACCCTCCGGACCTGGGATGGCTTGGTGTAGACCCTCAGTCTTGTGAGATGAATGAACCAGTCGCAGAAAGATGACATCAGAACTGGAGCTTGCCTAAGGCAGCCCGCCCTCCTTCCAGGCCACAGGTAACTGGGCCAACACCCCACCTTGCCAACAGCTCCCCCAGGAACCTTCCTGAGTCATCCCCTCCCTCCTGTTCACACTCCTCCCAGCCCCCCTGAAGCCCCGATGCATACACATTGGATAAGAGTTGCTGAGATCCTGCCTTTCCACCCTGTTCCTGTCCAAGCCTTTCTCAGACTTCTGCACGCCCTCCGCCCTCCGCCCTCCGCCGGCTGCCCAGACCATCATCCCATCCTAGCTGGCTCTGGGGACAAGGAACCCTTCCCTAAGACATCAGAACCCCCCACAGAGAGGCCCCAGCCCCTTTGGCCCCTAGCCCACGTTTCCCTGAAAGTTGCCCACCGCCTCCATGTATGTATCTGCTTGGGGGGCCCTTGAGGATTGGACCACTCACGAGAAACCCTTTGTGTCTTTGACCCTTCTCTGCAGGCTGCAGGAGCCCGGGGAAGGAAGGTCTGGGGCAGGAGAGTTGGCTGTCGGCTGAGAGCTCAGCTGAGGGACCCAGGGAGGGACCTCATCTCTAACACAGAGCTGCAGTACCAGGCACCTTCTTCCACCACACAGGATAGACAGAGGGTGTGGACAGCACATGGGACAAGGGGGGGGGCTGTCCAGAAAGATCACCAGCCTTCTAGGCAGGGGGGGGGATGGAAGGGGTGGGGAGAGAGGGGGAGAGAGAGAGAGAGAGAGAGAGGAGGACCCTTCTGTGCACAGTGGGACAGGAGCACCTACCTACAGGCAGGACTGCTGCAGGAAGAGCTGCTGCTACTGCAGGTAACAGTCCTTGGCCAAAGAAGGTTCTAGAACATGGCGGTGTCATTCTCCCACTCTCAGTTGAGCCCGTAAGAGACCAGGCTACTCACTGCAATCCTTTGCTTGGCTCAGCCCCGAGGCCTCTGAAATTGCACCCCCCCCCCGTGGGGTGGGGAAGAGAGGACACCCCGGCTGCGCCTCCAGGATCCGGGGGACCTGGGGCAGCCAGCCGGCCGACCTTTGTCAGCCCCAACATGTGCTCTCCGGCCCCGCCGGCCTGGGCTCTGGGGGGCTGCTGGTCAGTTCCTCCTGGTCTCGGCCCAGCAGCTGGACAGGGGCTTCAAGGAGAGAGAAAGAAAATTCCCTAGCACCCCACTCCTGGCTCCACTCCTGGGCCCACTGCAGGGAGGGGGGCCGGTCCCCCGCACCCCAAGGAGCACCGGCTCCGGCTGTGGCCGCAGAAACAGGTCCCTGGGGTCTTATAGGGAGCCGCTGGGAGGAGGGGGACCCCTGGGGGTCCATTCCTTAAGTGTCGGCTTCAAGATGGCCTGAGCTGCGGGGCACAAGGGCAGTGCTCTGAGACTCAAGGTCACCAGCTAGCGACAAGGACAAGGCCATTCCACCCCACCCCCACCCCCACGGCCCACACCCAGCCACGGCTACGTTCTTGGCTTGTGTGTGGAGCTTGGCTGTTTCTCAGCCACCACCTCAGTCCCGGGCTTTGGACCACCGCTTCCAGGAAGACCTCCGGGAGCCAGCCCACCCTCACCGCGCCGCCCTTCCCTCTCAGAGCATGGTGTCTGTCCATCCATCTCACACGCTGAGGGGCTCCAAAGCTGCCCCCCACCGCCCCCCAGCCAGGCAGCTTGTGACCCCTATTTTACCGAGGGTGGAAACTGCAGATGATTGTGGACAAGTCAGAACTTGAACCCAGGCCGGCCAGGTAGAAGGGCCTAGATGGGTGTAGAGGACAGGATGTCTGCATTGGGGCCCCGGGGAAGAGCCCCACCCCCACCCCAGAAGCCCCCGTGGTGTGTCCATTGGGGACCCTGGGCTTCTGTGGACCTGGGATCACGGCTAGCCTCGGGCTGGCAGCAGGAAGGACTTGGTGAGGCAGGAAGGCCAGGATGGCGAGGCTGGGGTCTGTGGAAGTCACAGGGCTGGGTGATCACGAGTTCAGTGCGGGGACACAGGGGGATGTCCCCCACCCAGAACCCTCAGGACATCGGATGCCCTCTCCACCACACCCTGGCAGGTGCCCACCGCTGCACTGCCAGCCGCAGGGCTGGGGTTGGCTTGAGCTGACCGGTTCGGCCCCCCTGGAGCCTGGCAGGGACGGCCGTGAATCATGCTAACGAGCGAGGGGCGGGGCCCTCCTGAAGCTCCGCCCCCTGCCCAGGCACACACAGCTGACCTTGACCTTGCTTTGTCTCCCAGGGGCCCAGAATGGGCAGAGCGGCCAGGGACTCGGTGGGGCAAACCAGACCCAGCCGGAGAGCTCCCCAGGGCCCAGGGAGCCCTCCCTTCACCCGGTGACCTTGGGGTGTGCCTTGGCCTGGCACCGCCCCCTTCTGTCCCTGCCACTTGGGCTATGTCTCACCCTGCGCCTCTGTTTCTCTTCCAAGAACAACTTTGGCAAGTGCTAGTGTACAACCTGCAAGAAACACAAGAGGTGACAACTCTGGGGTCACAGAAAAGGAGCTCACTGCCCTGAATCCAGGATGGCTTCCCGGAGGGGGTGTGGAGAGGACAGGGTAAGAGCTCTGAGCACAGCGTGCATGCGGGGGGGGCAGGGGGGGCGCCCACAGCCCCTTGCCAGGTCCTCAGGGGAGGGGGCCGGACCTGAGCCAGATGGAACCTACCGGACGCACAGGCAGGAGGGGCCTGAGCCTGGTGCCCTGGCGTTGGGGGGTGGGGAACCAGGGCAGGGGCCACCTGTGTGAGGAGACCCCCAAATGGCCACACACCTCCATAGCGGCCATTGATCTTCCTCTTTAGGACCAAGGCCAGCACCCTTTGCATTGCAGTGGCTGAAGCACAGTACCAAGTCCCTGGCTTGTAGAGGTCTTTACTGGGGAGGGGTGGGGGTAAGAGATGGGAGACACAAAAACCAGCAGCCACTTGGGAACCATGAGGCTTTATTTGTTTTCTGGTGTCAGAAGGGTGGGTCACAAGACAGAAGAGCGGTCCCTCCCGGGTGGGTTCATTTCCACAGGAACACAGAGGAAGGCTGGGGTGGGATCTGATTTGAGTTTCTAACCATGACCTTCTCTCTTGGCCAGGGCTGGCGAGGTGCGCTGCGGGGCTCTGCTACAGCCCACGCCACCTCCCTGGCTCCCACCGCAGCCCCTGCCATGCAGAGAGAGAGGCGGTGGGGGCTGACCACAACCCTCCTCCTCTCCCCGCTGCCCCGCCCCTCTAAGTCCAGACAGGGTAGCAGAGCTCCAGAGTTATTGCTCAGAAGATAGGAAAAGGGCTGGGAGGCCCTGGACTATAGAAATCTCTGGGTGCTCCCCAAAGAGCCAGGGCATTAGAGGGGTGTACAGAGGGAGCCCCAAGAAGAAAAACGACCACAGCCAAACCTAACAGCCTGCCTAACCGTAAGGCTGAGCTCACTAGCACCTGCGTGGAATCTCCAATTGCTAAGAGACCTTCTGAACAGACTTGGGTCACAGTGGAGTGGGGAGGCTGCCCTCACCCCTAAATCCACAGGAGAAGCTGGGCTCGGGGAGGGCACCGAGGAGCTGATGGCGGCATGGTGTAGCTCCTGCCCGGAGGACGTGGGGGGAGGGAGCACGGTCCACGAATACAAAACCACCCACAAACACGTAGCCACAAAGACCACAGGCAGCAGACACAGGGACGAACACAGACACGGCACGGGGTGAGCAGGCTGGGCGGGGACGGGAGAGGCACGGGGGACACACAGCTCTTCTCCAGATGGCTGGCCGCAGGTTCTGGAGGCTGGGGAGGGAGAGGATTTCAATTAAAATGCGATTCGAACCCTCCTCTGTATCCTGGCCTGCTCCTCGTCCTGCCCACAGCACAGCCTCTTTGCCCCTGAAATAGCCAAAGCCCCATGCGCGTCTCCATTAGTTATTCACAAAGCCGTCCCTGTGTTATTTCTGTGCTACTGGGAATTGAACTCAAGGCCCTCACTTCCAAGGCAGGTCCTCCACAGCTTGAGCCAACCTCCGGCCACTCTTCGTTCGGTTATTTTTGGGGGAGGGGCTCCCTGTTATGTCCTGTTCAGCCTGGCTGTGATCCTACTATTGGTGCTTCCCTGTGTGGCTAGGAATGACAGGCGTGCACTACTGTACTTGGCCATGGATTGAGGGGGGCAGAGGTTGTTTTTCGTGGGGGTGGGGGGGTACCCAAGTGGGTCTTGAACTCTGGGCTTGGGCGCTGTCCCTCAGCTCTTCAGCTCAAGGTGAGCACTCTACTGCTTGAGACACAACACCACTTCTGGTTCTCTAGTGGTTTATTGGAGATTAAGAGTCTCACAGACTTTTCTTCCCAGGCTGGCTTTGAGCCCTGATCCTCAGATCTCAGCCTCCCAAGTAGCTAGGATTACGGGCGTAACCCACCGGTGCCCGGCTCAGAAGTTGTCAGAAGGTGTTTAATTTTTGATGCTGCTACCAGAGCTTGAATTCAGGACCTGGGTGATGTCCCTTGGCTTTTTTTCTCCCTAGTCCTAGAGCTTGAACTCAGAGCCTGAGCTGTGTCCCTGAGCCTCTCTGTGCTCAAGGCTAGCGCTCTACCACTTGAGCCACAATGCCACTTCCAGCTTTTTCTGAGTAGTTTATTGAAGATAAGAGTCTCTCAGACTTTCTTTCCAGGGCTGGCTTTGAACTTCGATCCTCAGATCTGAGCTTCCAGAGTAGCTAGGATTACAGACATGAGCCAGTAGTGCTCAGTTCCCGAGTTCCCGTCTGCTGGGCTATCATGAGTGTGCACAAGCTCTTAACAAGGAAGTCAGTGCCACAGACACACACACTGCCAGGATCCCCAAAGCCTCTGTGAGAGAGAAGTCTCTCTTCATTACAATTTAAGATCAAGTTAAACATGGCACCTAAAGACTGGAAAGCAGGGACTAGTCACCGTGCACTCTAGCGCCCCCTACAGCGAGAGGTGCAAAGGACACATACATGTGCACACACGCACATGCATACACATATGCACACACATGCACACGCAGTGCCCACAGATGCTGACTGATAACACCACCATGGGGGGCCGGGTCACGTACTATCTACTTTCGAGTAGACCCCTAAAGTTCTGTACTAAAATGTTCTTTAAAAGAAACCATAAAGTACTTTGTGATCAGTCATTCGGGGTCATTGTCCTCATACCCTTGTGCATTTGTTTGGGGTGTCTGGCCACCTCTCTCCCAGTTGTCGGGGAGCTCCTTGAGCTCAGGGCTGAGCAGAGCCCTGGCTCCCAATGCTTGTGCCCAGGTGCAAGACGGGGGTCTCAGGACTGGATGGTTCTTTCGGGGGGACCCTGAAGGGAGGTTCCTCAGAGCATCTCAGAGCCAAAGCCCCATGGAAAATCCACCTGCTACCCTGCGCTGGGTGAGGATAGAGATGGGGCCCGAGGAGGGTCAGGCCGGAGCGGCTCACCTTCCCGCCGGAGGCTGCACTCAGTTCTCCGCCTTCTGGGGCTCAGCGGCTGGAAAGAAAGGCAGATGGTGTTGAAAGGGGTGACACTGACCCAGATGTATTGTTTCATAATCTGCTTTGTTAAACGGCAAAAACAACGAAGACATGGGGGTGTTCCACAGGAGCCCTCACCCCCGGGCACCCCAAGAAGCAGCCACGCCTGCCTGCGAGTTCAAATGGCACAGATGTGGCACAGAGCCTCACCCTGCTACCCCGGGATCACACGAACTTGTCTCACATGGTGCCAACCTGGCAGGGCTGAGTGATGGGAGATGGGGGTCTGTGACTGTCACTAGCCTGCTTGGAGCACATGAGGGGTGGCACCCATGCAGCTCTGGGGGGGCCCTCCCCCCCCTACTGGGGCGGCACACAACAGCCATGCCCCCCCATGCCCCGTCCCATCCGAGCAGACAGGTACCGTTAGTGGTGATGAGATTCTCCACCTGGGCCTCCTCGTCCCCCGGTACCCTGCCAGGGAGCAGACGCGGCGGGGTCAGGGCGGCTCCGGGGCAAACCCAGGCAGGCCGCACTGCTTGCTGGGGCACGGCCGCCCGGCACCCAACCCTCTGACCACGGCATGCAGGGTCAAAGGACAAGTCGGGGCCACAGGGGAGTCAGAGGGAACTTGCAGCCCCCTTTCCTGGTTGGCTCCCAAGAGAACCCGAGGTCCCGAGCCAGCCCCGGCCACCGTGAGGGACAGGAGGGTGGGACATGATGTCGAGTAGGGGATACGAAGCATCTACTTTGCTCCAAGAGCCCAGTGATGAAGCAAGAGGCTGGGACAGGGGCTGGAAAGGCCATGCGGCCATCTGGTTCCCCTCTCCCAGCCCAGCCCCCAAACAAGGTTCCAGAACCTTCTTGCCCATCCCCCCCCTCCAATCAACAGAGAGGCTGGACCCCTCCTTCACCCTGAAGTTGAGAGCAATCCTCAAGTTCACACTCAACCCTCCCCTAACACTCAATGCCCTCTTTCCCGCCCTCTCCCCCACCCCCTCCCTCCTTCCTTTCTTTGTCTCTCTGGGACAAGTCTCCAAGAGAAGGCTCCTGGGTTCCCAGGCCCTTCCCTGACCCTCTTAGTGTCACAGCCCTGTCTTCCTTACCGGGGCTTCTGATTGAAACTGCATTTGCACCTGCGACCTGAAAAGGAAAAGAAACCATGGAAGGTTCTGGTCCCAGTGTGAGTTCAAGGTCCTGCTCCTGGCCTGGCCCCAGCGTCTGTGCAGGTGAAGGACTATGTCACACCGTCTGCAGCATCCGTAGGTAGAGGAGGGTTTGTCTACCCAGAATTCAACGGCTAGGATGGCCCAGCACCACAGGGCCTGGTGCCCTGTGCAGACTCGGCTAGTGTGGGGACACACCCCCTCCTCGGCCCGCTGGGGACAGGGCCTGTCCCCTTCTCATGGCCCTGGGGGAGCCGCGCTGCCCGTCCCCCTCCTGTCCACTCGTTCACCCACATTTCCTTTGAGTGCGTGTCACTGTTTACTGAGCACGTACTTTCTACCCCACCCTGCACAAGGTCCTGGAGGAAAGATGGAGGACAGAGAGAGGCCAGGCTTCCTCTACCCAACCCGCTCAGCCGCCACAAAGAGCAAGGAACAAACCAACTCACTAAGGATCAGGAGAATCCCAACGGAGAACAGGATCACAGCAAACACCAGTCCGCCGATCCTCAGGGTCTGGTAGTCTGCCAAAGGAAGCGGGGCCAGAGATGAAGGCGGGGCAGGGCCAGGGGGGTTGTGGACATCCCTCTCGGGATAGCGCTGCACCTCGCTCTCCGCCTCCTGCACCCCAACTTGCTGAGGCCACTCACCATAATGAAAAGGATCCTTTTCTTTCTCCTTCTCAGCTGCTGCAAAAGTAAAGAGACATTGTGGAGAGGCAGAGGGGCATGCTGGGATTATCCCCCCCCCACCTCCCAGGTCTTGGTTCCCCACAAAGAGCTGCCTGAAGGTGAGACACTGGGGATGTGTGGAAGGGCGGGGCCTGGAACTGAGGGCGGGGCCTGAAAACCGAGGGCGGGGTCTGGGAACTGAGGGCAGGCAAAGTCTGCAGCCCCATGCATGGAGCACCCATATTTGTGGCCCCTTCTTGGTCTTGCATTATCACCCCCCATCCCCCTCCCAGGGTTTAGTATCTCTTGTGACAGGGAGGGAAACTGAGACCCAAGAAGGCCTCATGACTGGCAAAACACCAGTGCTGGGTTATTATGGTCTATACGCTGAGGTTCAGTCCAAAAGACCACAAGTGCTGAGGAGTCTTTAGTCGACGCAGCTAGACTCCTGTAGGGAGAGGGAGGCAGGCTGGATTAGGGTTGGTAGACAGTTGTCACTTTGTAGAACTTTGTTAACTGAAGGAAGGAGCACCTGCCCAGCCTTGATCTACAGGGTCCCCAAAGGGCCAGACCTTTCCGCCATCTTGGCAGGGGCTCGGCTCTTACCACTGGCCAGGACAGTGGGGGCCAGCAGGCCGCAGAGAAAAATCAACACCAACTCCATGGCGTCTGGGGACAGAAGGAGGGAGACGTTACACCCTGCGCAGCTCTACACCGGCACGCACCAACCCCAACCATCCGATGCCTGAGCGGGAGCACGTCAATGCCCAGCTTCACTCTGGGAGCTGAAGATCTGAGGGGAAACCAAAGCTGTAGACCTTCCTCGGAGGCCAGAGTCCTGCAAGCATTACTCCAATTAATACAATTAATCAGAACAAGTAGCAGACTTGACACCTGACCCATGTCACGGGGCATAAACTGAATGATACTCCCAGAGGGAACCCCAGGGCCAAGGCCACAAAATCCTAAGGACCCTGGAGATGGCCTCCCTGTGTACTGTGGCCACCTCCAGGTCATTAAGGCAGGGACTTCCTGGCCTGGCTCCCACAGCCAACACCCCCCTCAAAAGTCCTGTTTCATAGCAGAGAGGGCAGTCAACTAACATCTCAGGCTGGAGGCATGGCTCAAGTGGTCAAGCAACTGTCTAGCAAGTATGAGGCCCTGAGTTTAAAACCCAGTACTGGGGCTGGGAAGGTGGCTCAGTGGTAGAGCGCTTGCCTTGCATGCATGAGGCCCTGGGTTCGATTCCTCAGCACCACATAAGCAAAAAGAAAAAAGCCAGAAGTGGCGCTGTGGCTCAAGTGGTAGAGCGCTAGCCTTGAGCTGAAGAGCTGAGGGACAGCACCCAGGCCAAGCCTTCAGGCCCCATGAATGGACCCCCCCAAAAAAATAAAAAAATAAAACCCAGTACTGAGACGAGTAAAAAAAAGCACCCTTATAATCCAGCCAAACTAGCTGGGCCCTGGTAAACTGACATGCTTCATCTATGGAATGCAAAAGTTAGGGGACTGGTGGTGTGGCTCAGGTGGCAAAGCACTAGCCAATGAGCAAAAGCATCTGATAACAAGTTCAAGTCCTTTCTGTCTCAGACAAAAAGAAGGAAGGAAGGAAAGAAAGGAGGAAGGGAGAGAGGGAGGAAAAAAGAAAGGAAGAGAAAAGAAATAAGTGCAAAAGTCAGCCCTTGGGCTGGGAAGGTGGCTCCGTGGTAGAGCGCTTGTCTTGCATGCACTGGGTTTGAGTCCTCAGCACCACATAAGCAGAAAAAGCCACAAGTGGTGCTGTGGCTCAAGCAGTAGAGCACTAGCCTTGAGCTGAAGAGCTGAGGGACAGCGCCCAGGCCCAGAGTTCAGGCCCCACAACCAGCAAAAAAATAGCCCTCCTCAGAGACTTTCACTCATCATCTTCCCAAATAGCAACAGGGCTAAACAGGTTGTAGAGACAGCCTTCTAAGAGTCAGCGTACGGTCCCAGGTCCTGCTGGGAGATGGATCATCCCACCCAGAGAGTCCTGCAGACACACTCCATACTCCCAAGTGGCACAGAGCCAGAGGAGGAGGGAAAGAAGCCCGGAGCACAAGTGCTCAAGGCCGTTTTCTGGCTTCCGTGCAGGTGAGATTGAACCGCTGGACACTTGGGTGGAGATCTGACTCCCAGAGCTGGCAGTCTCATTGCCCTTCACCTCTCGGCCACCAGGGGGAGCAGCACAACCGCATCGAGAGGTTGGCATCCCAGCCTTGCTGGGCTCAAGGCTTCCTGGCATCAGAACAGACTAATGTCCACTGGACATTCCAGCAGGAACAGCCCTGCTTCGGCTCGGTTTGCATGGCAGGATCCGGGGCTGGCTTGGTGGCCTGGGCCTTTAGTCTGGGGCTTCTGTATTGTTTTTTGTTCTGACTGTGGAGGACGCTGAATGCCAAGCGAAAGAGTTCAGACCTGTCTTTGTGCTCTAAAGAAAACATTTCTGATCAAGTTACAGCGTACTGAAAGAAATGCTGCCAGAGAGTTTTAAAACGTGGCCTGGTCCCCATCTTCGAGCCGCTCCTGGATCCTGGACAACACCAGCCCATTCCTCACCCCAGATCTCCCCCGGTGCCCCGTGGCCCCTCAACATGCTATGAAAATCCCAATGGTGGCACAGCTGGCACTGTCCCGGTGTCCAGTGGCCAAGAACAGACACAGCGCCTCTGCAGGGACACAGATGTCTTTGTCTCACTGCTCCATGAGGGAACTATCCTTGCCACGGCCCTCCATACTCCCCCACCCTCCCTACATTCCTCTCTTCCTCCTCCCAGGGGGAAGCAGGCTGGCCTGGGACTGGCAGGGTAAGAGGGGAGGTGGTAAACATTATCTCCCAGACCCTGTTTATGGACTACAGGGAGGAGAAGATGCAAGAATGCCGGAATAAAGGGCCGAACTTTCCACGAGACTCCATGTTACTGTGAGAACTACACTGAGATGAACGCCCAGGGCTCACACTTGTAATCCTCGCTACCCCTGGAGGCCGAGAGCTGAGGACTGTGGTTCAAAGGCAGAGCAGACAGGAAAGTCTGTGAGACTCTTATCTCCAGTTAACCACCAAAAAGCTGAACACAGTGGCACGGTAGTAAGAGTACCAGTCTTGAGCAAAAAAGCTAAGGGAGTGCATCAAGCCCTGAGTTCAAGCCCCAGTACCAGTATAAAAAGAAAAACCTGCATTGAGGCCCTGGGCCATTACCTAGGCTCCTTGGGGCTAGTCTGGCAGGGACAGGGCCTCTGAGAAGTTATCACCGTTGGAGTGGGGCTCCCGAGCCTGTGTTCCCCAGTTCCCCACTTCCTTGGATGGTTTGGACCATCCTATGTTTTATTTTAGGGCTAGTCCTGGGGTTTGAACTCAGGGGCTGGGCGCTATCCTTAAGCTAATTCTCTACCACTTGAACCAGAGCCCCACTTCCAACTTTTTGGTGGTTGATTAAAGATTAAGAGCCTCAGAGACTTTCCTGCTTGGACTGGCTTCAATCTGTAATCCTCAGATCTCAGACTCCTAAGTAGCTAGGATGACAGGCGTGAGCCACCAGTGGCCGGCCCATCCTATGTTTAGAAAGTGGTTCCATTTTTATCTGCTCACTCCACCGGTGCATTAGGAGGAAGCACTGATCTCCACACTCCCCCATCAGCCTCAGCGCAGGTAAACAGCCGCCCGGGGCCAGCAGTGGGACTTCCATGTCCATTTTCCTCTCCTGTTCTCCCGCGCTTTGAGCCCTCGCTGGTCGCCCAGTCCCTACTGGGCCTGCGTGGAACATACAATCAGAAGCGCTATTCCGGTGATTATCTCTCCAACCCTGAGTCACATAATTTCATTTAATTGCTGGGTGAAAAACTGCTCCGAAAGAGAAGCCAAGGGATGGTACAGCCACGTTCTAGATTCTTTCTGAGTCCATGCAGCAGTGAGGAGCATCAGGAAACCCATTCTACTGTGCAAATAACAACCTCCTTGTGAAAGACAGAGGCTCAGCCAGGCGCCAGTAGCTCACGCCTGTCATCCTAGAGGCTGAGATCTGAAGATCGTGGTTCAAAGCCAGCCAGGGCAGGAACGTCCATGAGACTCTTATCTCCAATAAACTATCAGAAAGCTGGAAGTGGTGCTGTGGCTCAAGTAGTAGAGCGCTCACCTTGAGCTGAAGAGCTGAGGGAACGCACCCAGGCCCAGAGTTCAAGCCCCACTCCCCCGCAAAAAAAAGCAACTGGGGCAGAGAAAGCCAGTGAGTGCTAGATTCTAGACTTCCGCCCACTTCCACCAGTAGACTGCCCCCCCTGTGGGTGGCTGGAGAGTAATCCTGCAGCTACTGGAAGACGCCCCGTGCGGAGCCAGCCCCTAGATCACAGGGAAGGACTCCCAACCCCTGGGGACAAAGGACCTGCAGGTGGCCCTTTGAGGACCCACTTCCTCCAGGGAGCCTGCCACCCTGCCTCTTGCTCCCACCCAGGCCAGCAGGCTGAAGCTGCGGGGCAGAGACGAGCCCTGCAAAGACGCAGGAAAGGCCAAGCCTATACCACCCAAGCTGCACACATACCTCCAAGAGCAAGGGAGACAGCAGAAGGCATGAGGCCTGCCCGCTCACCCTGAGTACAGCCTTCCATCCCCTCCCACAGAGAGCCATTTATGCAGGCGCATTCAAGAGGCTTCAACTCCGGGCCTGGGCGCTGTCCCTGAGCTCTTCTGTTCAAGGCTAGTGTTCTACCATTTTGAGCCACAGCACCACTTTCCAGTTTTCTGGTGGCTTCAAACCATGATCCTCAGATCTCAGCCTCCTGAGTGGCTGGGATGACAGGTATGAGCCACTGGCACCCAGCAGCAGTGTGATTTTTTTTTTTAAAGGAAGGAGACTGTAGGCTTATGCAGATGATTGGGCGGGGGCAGGAACCTGCGTGGGCCGTGCAGAATCTGCCAGTCCATTCCCCATCCACTGCCCACGGTGGTTACAAAGGTCAAGGAAGAAAACATGCCAAGGTTCTTTGGAATGGAAAGCACCAGCAATGCATAACCATTATGTGGTATGACTCTAGCCACGCCCAGCGCTGCTGGAAACCATTTACATATACGACCTCATACACCCCTTACAATAGCTCCAAGACGTGATCCATCACACAGATGGGCAAATGAAGGCCAGGAAGGTTCAGCCACTTGCTCCAGAGACTCACACTGGTAATCCTAGCTACTCACGAGGCTGAGATCTGAGGATCAGGTTTCAAAGGCAGCCTGGGCAGGAAAGTCCATGAGGCTCTTTAACCACCAAAAAAAACCCTAAAGTGGAGATGTGGCTCAAGTGGTAGAGCAAAAGCCTTGCGTAAAAAAAGCAAATTCAAGCCCAGTACCAACACACACATACTACTGGGGAGAGGAGTATGGGTATGACTAAAAACAGCCAAGGTGCGCCTAACTGATCACCAAGCAGGGTTTGGTCTAGAGTTGTCTTAACCAGGCCAGGATGAACCCAAACTAGAACTCTTCAAACTCTGGCATGCCTGCTCCTGTGTGTGTGGTGCTGAGGTCAGGATGGGTGTCCGTGGCCTCTCTCAGGGAGGAGGAAGAGGCCTGTGGATCTATCAGCTCCTGTGGGCTGCCCGGATGCCTGCTGCATCTCAGCCTCTGCTCATCTCTCTGCAGGTGCTGGGCTTCGGGTGTAGTGTACT